TGGCGCTAGGTCCCCGGTCTTGCTCCACTACCAGAGCCCCGTTAGCCAAGCAAAAGCAAGTTTCCAGCGCACACCAGCGTGGAGGTGGGGTTGGATTTTACGCACCAAACTTGTGTGCAATGATACTTCATCGAATCAGGGGAATGCCAGAACCCTTTTATGGTGACCAGGGTTACGGCCAATTATTCGACAACGTTCTCCCAAGTCAAATGGAGAAATGACACCATCGTCCAGACCAATGGTTGTGATTATGGACTGGGCACCGTATTGCGCCAAAAGAATGTTGATGGGTAAATTCAGCTGTTAATGCATGCAGCGAGGACACGGACGAGAGCAGAAATAAATTATTTTTAGAAAGGTGAAAAACAGGATTTCAGGAGGCCAGCTAGGACTAGATATCCCCTAACAGGCTTGTTTTGAAACTAAATCGCTGAACGTACGAGGTCAGTTTTCTAATAGCAGGAGGTTTTAGGGCGGCACAGAAAATGAGTCAACACACTGGCCGTCCCAACGTCGAGATGACAAAGAAAGATCGCATGAACAAAGAGCCACGCGCGCGCACGTAACAGAGCCGCTACGTTGTGTCACCCTGAGGACACTACACGATAGCTACCCGAATAGGCCACTCGCGCGTGGACCATTAAGAAGAGACAAAGCGGGCACATCCGTTGGTCCTTAAATACGCTGCTGCCGACAGGAGGCGAGATTCTGCTGTCCACACGAGAGCGTGCTGCCGACATTGAGGATAAGCTGTAGACCAGATGACTATTGCCCACAGGTACGCTTGGAAGTTGAAGCACACGCGCAGAAGCTGATGTGTACACAGAGACTGTTGCAGCAAATTTTTCTATACTATCCTATCTGTCTTCTCTTCCTAACGTACAACTGGGAGACATAACAACAAGTTTTTGCATAAGCAATCAAATTCTCAACTCTTCACAGCGTGGCTTTTTACTGGATTGATCTTGAGAAACATGCCACATGTCTTTTCTAAATCTACTTACTTCTCTTCGTAATGATAATTTATCTGTGGTAGTTATCTACTTTGATCTTAGTAAAGCACTCGATAAAGTGCCTCATATGCGGCTTCTAGCCAAACTAGAGGCTATAGGATTTCCTAGTACTCTTACTGACTACAGAGATCATAGCTATCTAATCGAAAGGAAAAGGTCTTCTTGGGATCCTCATACTCTACTGCTACCGCAATTTTGAGTCATCTCCTTCAGGGTACCGTGCTAGCTCCTCTGTTGTTCTTGCTGTACATAAATGAGATTTCATTGAGAGCTAAAGGCTCTCAATCTTATATTTATGTGGATGATCTCGAGTGTGTTTATTCCTTCTCTAACTCTACGGTCGAACAATGCTTAGAACAAATTCGTTCGGATTTGGACGCACTTTCTGCTTGGAGCTCCACATGGCGAACAGAGTTCTCACCTTGTCTATACACCTTCTCTCACCTTTTTTACATATGTGCCTTGGGCCTAAAGGCAGCCACGACCTGTTATTGTTCAAGGTTGCCCAATGACTGAATGTTCCAACATCAAAGACTTAGGTTTAAGCTACACCAATAAATTAGATCCTTACGTCGATAGACTTACGACCAAAGCTGCTCAGATATTCGACTTTATTTTTTATAATCTCTACCTTCCTGAATTGAAATTACGATTTTGTCACATGATTGTGTTCCCGATTCTAGGATACTATTGCCCATTCTTTGGTCTAATGAATGAATCTAGTCGTTCAAAAATTGAAAATTTCCAAAGACATTTCAATAGAAAACTGCCTTACTCGAAATTTTCAGACACTTCCCACTCAAGTAGATGCCAATTAATGCAACTGATATTTCTTTGGGTCGGAAGATTGGAAGCAGGCTTCTGTCTCCTTTTTCGACTTAATAATAATAACACGCGGTGAACGCAGACTGGCAATCACTCAATAATTTAAAATTTAAAGCTGCGGCAAGGCTATGGCTCTGACAAGCCAGCCGTTGAGTCACAAACCAATTGTGTGGCCACTCGCGCCAGGATATAATCTGAATGGCGCATTGGACGTAGTTTTATGTACGCATGTTACCTTAAATATGTTATGCTAATTACGCTAACGGACTACTGCTTTTGCACTCTTCTTGTCGTGTTCTTCCTTGGTTACTCCCACAAGGCGTATTTACGCGGTGATATCTCGGCTTTGGCTACGTTTACAACAATTGGTGACGCAGATTCAGAATGAACTATGCCCATCTCCACGGAACAATTGCCGAATATCCTGCAGCAACAAAAAGCCCATTTTGAGTCGGCTCAGGTGAAGACAATAGAGTCATAATGCAGAAATATAGTTTGCATTCTTGTCATCCAGACTCTTCTGCGAAACAGTCCACCTCAGCAGACGCAGCTGTGGCCTCAACCACCGAATTCAATTATAATCCTGACTCCGGTATACGTTTCGATGCCTGGTGTTATTTCCGGCTGAACCAGTTTGGAATTCTCCACAACCCTTCTACAATGAAACTCCCGTTCGACCTTTAAAAAGATTGTTTACTCTCTTTCGAAGGCTCTCCCCCTTCTCTCTTGAATGCTGGTAGCTCTCCCTCACTCAAATGCACATGACTTAATAGTGCCCTCCCCCGGTCTCGGCCTTTTCTTTCGATTTTCAGATTTCACATGGCAACCACCGTGAAGGGACATGGCAGCGGCGATCCAGCTGTCCGTCCTCCCCTCCCCCTTCTTGACCCAGCTGCCGCGGCTACTCCGAGAACCAATCGTCGAGCCACCCCATCACCACTGACTTCAAACGCTTGCAACCTCCCCCACTTCCCAGAACAGTATTGTTTCTGTTCACGTCCGCCCCTCCCCTTTGGCGCTGGTGTTTTCAGATAAACAGGAGCGCACAGGAACTGCCTTCTGGAATAATACAAAAGCAGATCCACGCCCCTTGACCGACTCCCGTCGCTCTTGACTTAGAATATCCATTGTTGAAGTTTGTTTATTTTGTCTGTTACTATGATGCTTAATAGTACCGTACCACACTGGTAGCTGTTACCGCTGGTTTTGGCGTACGCGCGGCTGCTGGATACAGTCGGAGAAGTCAAGAGAAAGAACACCTGGTTTTAACGTTGGGAAGACATCTTCCGTGTGGAGTCTGACAAAACTGATGACGTTTCGAAGGCGCAGCTGCTACTACGCAAATTGGGCACCACAGAGCACAAGCGGTAAACGGATATAATTCTGCCGAAAAGCCCTCGTGACTTCACCTTCGACGAAACGATCAAGCGCCTGTCAAAAACCCTCGGCAAGAAGTCCTCCTTGGTCATTATTCGATACCAGTGTCTTAAGCTGGTCAAGAACGAGACAGATGATTTTCTGACACTCGCCAGTATCGTCAACCGCGAGTGCGAAGTAATCAAGCTGCAAGAGATAACAGAAGATCAATTCAAGTGTCTCATTTTTTTGAGCGCTCTGCGGTCAGCTCACGATGCTGAAACAAGGACTCGTCTGCGCTCCAAAATTGAACAGGACCCAGACTCAACCCTGCGGAAATTGATGGCCGAGTGTAAGCGGCTCAAGAATCTTAAATATGATTCTGCGATCGTGGAGCAACCCAGTTCCTCGTTTGCCGCCATCAACATTCGTGCTGTCACTCGCAAAAAGTCGATATCGCCACAAAAGCCCTAAAACTCCGCATTCAGAAAACCACCATCAGCATGCTAGCAGTGCGGTGATTGACATTTTGTTCACTTACATATGTCTATTCACGAAGCACGTTTGTCAGAAATGCCACAAAATAGGGCATACGGAAGATCACTGCCCGGCAGGCCGACTCCCCAAATCAAGGACGGAAGAGAAGAGACGTACCAAACGCCCTTCATCCTATTCCGGTCTCAAGTCTCACTCAAGCCTAGCCAAGTTCCAGACTAAATTTGGGGCACGAAGGAAATATCAATTTCATATCTGTACGCCTCCAGCTAGACACAGCCTCAGGCATCAGCCGCATCTCCAAGAACACTCTGCAGATGGTTGGATGGCCTCCGATGATCACATCAGGCCAAAGGGCTACGAACGTTTCTGGAGGATTTCTC